AGGATGGACAACTTGAGTGTTTCACTAGTGGCAATAAAATGTTAAATATTAAAAATACCTAGAAGAAGCTCTCTAGTACTTTGGGGAGATACTCTGCAAAGTATGGGACAACATGGACCAGAATAATACAGGGTAAGAAGATACGAGTGGGTTGTTATCTCCCTCAGTGAGGGGAATAATCACTATGAGGGAATGATGAAACAATTGAAATATTGAATTTTGCATTAGTTAAGGCTTTTTGTTTTTCCTTGTACAAAGATAATCTTAAATTTAGTGCAATTTGACAAATATCCAAGGGACTGTTAGGTACCCAATTCAGTCCCATCCTAACTATTGTGAAGTCTAATTTAGCAGAATACAAATCAATAAGGTTTTACAATACAGGTGGATGCTTTTTGGTTCATTTTAAAAAATAATTCAGACTTCATGTATTTGCAGATATGTGGTACCTAGAGAAACCAAGGCTAGATCCATGTATTTTATGCCTGAACTTCCTAATACCAATTTTCAAAAAGTCAAAGAATTCTCATCTTGGATTTTTGAACAAGTCTCTCCTCTAATAATTGCTATATGTTGCAAAGTCAGCATTTGGGTGGGTTACTCTCCAGGAACACAACCAGCCAATTCTACTGCCAAGCCCTGAGGCAAACTATTACAGAGCTCCATGTCTTTTTATTACAACTACTGTAACACAAATGAATTAAATAAATCCATGCTAAGGCTAACATGTCTCCCAATACAAATGTTATAAAAAGATTCTATAGCATTCTTAGAAGGGCTGTGAGTTAAACTTTATCAAAAGGCTTGGGTTTTGCTGAATGTCACTTGACATCTTTAACTTAATAAATAACTATGCCCCTATGTCGTCCTTTCTATGACTTTCATTTGTCAGTCCCTTGAAAATTGATTTTCCCTCATTCTCAAAAAACAAAAAAACAAACAAAAAAACCCTCTAAACTTCCACAAGGCAGCATGAACCAGCTGGAAGGGAGAGTAAGCCAAAGGATCTGTAACACTTTCCATCATGTTCAAAGTAGGAATGATGTATTCTACCATCTGGGGAAGGCATTCTGATTTCTTCTTCTGGTGAGCCTGGAGACATATTGAGAGGTGGCCTATCTAGCCAGGTGATGGTATTGAATGGAAGCTAAAGGGAACATTAGGGCTATGGGATTTTGTGTCTAGTTTAATACTTCCTCCTTTCTCTTCATTGTAACTTCCACCATCCTGTTGACCTGTCCTCTATCTGCTTCTGCTAATGTGTAGATATGATATTTGTCAACATATCCAAGAGGCATCATCATATACCAAAAAATTGCTGCACTTGGAATTAGGAGAACTGACTGGCTTCATATCTTGATTTTGTTACTGAGAGGAAGTTCTTGGTGGTATTGACAGAGTTTTGTTTTTTGTGGGTTTTTTTTTGCTTACAATTATTAAGAAATTAATTTTGGTGATGGAGGTGGCAATCCTATGTAGAATCTCTAGTCACTCTCACTAGTTTGGGTTGTCCAGAGGTGACGTCAGATCAGTCACTTGAGTCCTAACACTACCCACACCTAGAAGGGCATCTCTGGTTTTGGAAAGTCTATGTGTCTGTTGCACTCTCTCTGTCTCTGTCTCTGTCTCTTTCTCTCTCTCTCTCTCTGTTCTGTAATTTCACCGCTGTAGGGAACTTTCAGGAAAGAAATTTCCTTTAGCAGTATAGTTGCACAGGACACTGAGTGGTCAAGTGACTTTCCCAGGGTTGTACAATTCATATAGATCAATGGCAACACTTGAACCCAGGTCTTACTGATCTGAAGGCCATCCTTCTATCCACTAAGCAAAACTACCTCTGTTTTGTGAGTTACCATTTCAAATTAATGTATGGATTGGTAATACAGTAATTTCAAAAATTCTTTCTCTTTGAATGATAAAATGAGTAAGAATGTTGTCTCTTAGACAGACAAATGTGAGAAGTTCCAATTAGTGACATTCTAGAAACACTGTAGCTAAGGGAAATGGCGGTCCCTTCCTTGGACTTACCATCTTCCCCCTTGTCTAACATTTTTGCTTTCTCTTGGATACTTTTTCAGGATTGATATTCAAGCTGTGAAAGACATTCTTCCATCAGCAGAATCAGGCACAAGAACAAGGTCCTCAGGCAGCATGGCTAGCATTTTTTAAAATTCACTCTGGATTTGTTAGGTGGTTGGCAGTGGGGAAGATGAGCCCCATTGCCACAGTATAAATTTAAACACTTGGAATAAAGCATATCCTTAAGCTACTATATTCTGTTGAATTCATTCAATTAATGAACATTGTACTCTATCAAATGAATCTTATTTTTAAAGCAATTTTAATTGCCAATTATTTGTTTTGATATCTCATTGTCAAAAAAAAGCTATACATACATTTATAAATGAGTATTTTATTACCTGAATTTGTAGTGGAACAATGTTGTGATATGTAGAATTTCAGTTCTATTCCTGCTATTGCAGGAACTTGTGATCCTAAAAGCATACAATTGAAAAAGTACTGTGCCAAATCTGTCTATGAGACTCCAGGTCAAATAAAGAACTCCACAAAAGGTCACAGTGGCAGATGCATTGATTGGAGGCAGTCTACCATGCAAAAAGATGCTGGGGTTTGGGGAACAGGTCATATTGCAAGGATGATAGACAATAAAACATACTACGTAGCTAATAGATTGGATCCCACAGGGTTACAAAGAGCCAACCAGGAGGCTGAAACTTGATGGCATGAGACAGCGGTCTAGGTATACTGACCAAAATAGAAACAATAATCATGGGATCACTGATACTGATGTTTAGTGTCTTTAAATTTGCAACATTATGACCAATAATGGATTTGAATTATCTGGCTACCCTTTCCATGTACAAGAGCTTACTGACCATTAAACATAAAAGAACAATAAAAATGTCCCAGAGTTAGTTTTGCATCAACTCAATTGAATACAAAGTTAGTAATGAGTATTAATGTATTAATATAAACATGAAAAATATTCATGCTTGTTGTCAGAAAATCTTGAAACTGGTCATATCTAAATATAGGCAGTGTGGTATAGTAGAAAGAGAACTGAATTTAGAGTAAGAGTGGATTTGAATCCTGACATGGCCACTTAACCATCTGTCTAACTGTTGGCATATCCCTTAATTTCTCTTGGTCTGTTTCATCATCTGTAGAATGAGGCAGTTCCAAAAGATAGTATCTAAGATCCTTTCTTTCTCTAAATCTATGATCCTATGTATAGCAGAGGTGATCTGGTACCTTTTATTAAGGTAGATGTCATTTGCTTTGCTGGAATTGCATAGCAAAACTTCTGATTGGTCTTCTGTTCCACATTATTGGGTAGATTATGTTGAAGGTGACTATCTATTGAGTCAGGAAAAGTCATCGTTTCCGTGGTCTGCAAGAGGAGACAGGAGAATGGTGTTGCCATTTTCTCCTTTGGACTTTCCATAAGGTGGTAGTGGTGGTGGGCAACCAGAAGCAATGATGGCTACAGGAAGGAAGGAAGGAAAGAAGGAAGGAAGGAGCAGGGGAGGAGGAGGAGGGAAGAAGGGAAGGAAAAGAAAAGAGAAGCATATGGCAGTGGAAACCTGTACTACTGAGGGTAGGAGGAGGAGGGGGCATAAGAGAAAAGAAACCCTTCCTTCTCACCAGAGAAAAACAAAAAAAGAAGCAAGACCTTTCTTCTTTATTCCTCCCATAAATGAAAGAGTATGGGTAGTTCCCTTTACTAGAATCATCAGTAATATCCACCACAACTCAACATTGACAGAGACCAGAAAAAACACACAGGAACTGCTGTGTCAATCCAGAAACAAAAAGCATCCATCCATCAATAAGAGGTCACCTAATTACTCCCCTACATATAAATTTCATGATATTCGGGAAGACAATAATTTGCTCACAAATAGCACTAAAATTGCATGTGTCTAAAAAAAGTCTGCCTAGGTTTGAGAAATATGCTAACTTTTCCTAACCAATAGGTATTGGGAAGATAGTCTGCCCAGAGGTTTGAGAAAGAGGGTCCTTTCCATAACTTCTACCAGTAAACTCTATTCCACCATTTGTGGAAATTCTTATCACCCTGTTTAGCAGGGTTCCCCATTGCAACATTGTTCTTTCTGTGTATGTGATATTAACTTAATAATGAAATGATTACAGCTAATATTAACATTAACAGGAAGAACTAAGTGTAGTATTGTTTCAATAGTTATAATTATCATCATTTCAAGGAAGACCTTTAAAATGTATTGTAAGGATGCTAAATACAAAATGATCCATTTATGATAGAAGATCAGGACAGACATATAAGAAAAGAAATAAAAAGCTACAGAAGAGAGAAATGATAGACGGTAGGAGAAGGGGAGAATAAAGACAGGGACAGCTAGGAGTTTAACAAAGGGTAAGCAAAAGAGAAGGAATAGTTTGAGGATCAAACTCTTCAAAAGTTGTGACTCTGGAAGTGAAAGTCCAGTCTCCCTCTGTAGCTGGACTATACTTCTGGATGGTTCTGGGGATGAAGTGCTAGCTCTGTGTCTAGGGTTGTCTGTCTCCTCAGCTGATTTCCATGTTCTAAGGCCTGCAAGCCTCCTTTCTCCATGTGGATCATGGACAGACAGTCTCCATACAGGCACCTCACTCATCTCTCTCCTCTTCATGTTCATCACTCTTTGGTACTAAAGTGGAAAAGCTTCCCATGACAGGAGAAACAATGCAAAGTTTTCTTGATCAAAGGCAGAAAAAGTTCTTCTAGCTGTTTATCTGAGATGAAAGCTGTGGTGGGAAATTACTTCATTGCCTCCTCCCATTCTCTCCTTTTTTTTTTGAATTTTCAAAGATTTATTCAGTGATTTGTACTTTCTTTTTTTTTCTTCTTTTCTAGTACACCTTCCAATTTTCTTTTCTTGACAGACACTACATTTTCTGCTTTTGTTGGTTTTTTATTATCCTTAGTCCAACCAAATTTCTTGGACTGTTGCTGTTTTCCTGCTGAATCATCAGATTTTGGGGGGCTAGTTTTGAACTCTCATTCTTCTTTGTTTACAGGAGAAGGGGCTGCAGCTGTAGGAAGCTGGTCTTTGGTGTCTGTAACGCTGTCTAGCCATACTCCAAGGCAGGTGAGTCTGGCTTTAGTGTTTACTTCACATAGTAAAGATGGGGGAGCCTTCTTAGTTGGATTATGCCTCCACATTTTGATGAAGCCATCAGTCGATGCTATAACAATAACATGATGCTCTGGGACTTCAAAGCTGCACACGTCTTTTACTCTGTTTTCATGAGCCTTAAATTCACAGAGACATTTTAGTGAATCATAGTCAAACAACCTTACAATTTCTTCATCTCCAGCCACAGCAAGTATGGAATCTGAAATAAATGGAACAGAAGAAATTCTCTTTGCAGTAGTGATGGTACCAATAATGGATGCAGTTTCAAGTTGGTAGATGTCTATCTTGTTTATTGTGACAACTATATACTTCTCTCCACTAGGGGACCATTCAACTATGTAAGCATTTTGTTTTATATTTTTTATGAATGCCGATCTTCCTTCAATAAGATTCCATGTTTGTAATGTCTTGTCTGTTCCCACTGACAGTGCTAATTTGCCAGATGGATGAGCAGAAAGGGAAGTCACATGTCCCTTGTGTGCTTTAATAGACTTCAAGCAGTCCCATCTCTTTCCATCCCAAACACAAATTAGTCCATCTTCTCCTCCACTAATTAAGTGCCCATTACCAAAAAATTTCAGGCAATTTATTGTGCCATTATGATGCATCAATGCTCCATGTGCTACCTTTTTTTTTCATATCATAGATGTGAATTGTTTCATCTTTGCTTCCAGTAACCACGAAACAGTTATTTACAGCCACTGCTGACAAGGAGGCAGCATGGCCATGGTGGGTAAAGTCAGCCATGGGAGTCCATTTCTCGCTCTGGCCACTCCGGCCAGGCTCCCTGTGCACCATGAACCTGAAAAGAACCTGCTCATAGCAGCCGCAGACTAGCTCCATACTGCCGCGCACGCACACGTCCATTCTCTCCTTTCAAAGCATGTTCAATGAGTACCAAAACCGAAGTCTGTCCAGAAAGAGGGGAAGAAGGCAAGAAATGAGCTTTGCATAGTCTGATCCCTTGAGAAAACAAGAACTATAAAATAAAACTAAAGACAGAGGAAATATCAAGAAAATTGTTATAAAGTTAAATATGCATGGTATAGCCAGTATTTTACTATATTTTCTTTGATGAAAAAGTGGTAGAAGGAATTTTAAAAAAAAAAGTAAATAGACATAATATCCATTTCAATTCCTTTCCTATTCAATAAGGATTCTATAAATAAGAGCTAAACTAAGTACAGTAGTCAAATAGACTGATTTGAATTTTCATTTTCCTCTCTATCATCGTTTGATAAAGATATAATGAGTAGTGAGCAAACATATGCTTACATAAAGAGAGGATGAGGAATGAAAGTTGATGGTAGATTTGTTCAATTGCATTAAGAATTAAATTAATCAGGATGTTCATAACTGTATTGATTTGATTATATTTTATTTAGTTTTTTAAATGAACCAGAGTTGTTTCAGTAAAAAATTATTTAAAATATGCATAGATATGATGATGATGATGATGATGATGACATTATAAAAAGGTAAAATGTAAATAACGGATGATGTTGGTACTTACAAATAATCTTGTTTCTTCTAGGCAAGACAAAATAATTAAAAATTGATCATGGAAAGACATATACTTGTAGATGCTTAGAGACATCCTAGGATTCTCAAGTCAAAATTAAATGGGAAGAAAACATTTAGAATAATGGACTCCTTTACCCTACCAGTCCTTAACACACACTTTTGGAACAATAAATGGATGACGACAAATTTAAAAATATTCAAATAATGAATCATGGAGCCCATCACTGCAAGGCAGCTATAGAAAAATTAATGCTATCTTGAAAAAAGAAAGAAGAGGATTGGTAGATGTTCTCAAATCATAAGATAAACAGGTCAAAAATGTCCAGAAATACTTCTGTAGCAAATGGAGACCATCTTTACAGGGAAATACTAAAGGCTGACAGTATGTTCATGATGCCACTGTATATAACAAATGTAATCAATATTGGTTTGCTGCTGGATGGAGGCAATGAAATATATAAGATTTCTCACCAAAAGGCCAGTCCTCCATAGCCACATGAACTCAACCAACAAAGAAATAGCAAACATATGAATGAGTCATGCAGATTGACTTATTTATAGACATGGAAGGATTTACAATAGCAGCAGAAGACCAGACCATTGCTAAAGAAATTTAAGGAAGATAACCCATAAGAAGCACAGACCTATTGATTAATGGAGATTTTGCAACACAGTGGCAAAAACTGTGTGGGTTTCAAAAATTTGGCACCTTCCCTGCACTTAGACTCAATCAACAGAATTATATAACAGATGTTTGATATCCTTCATAAAATAACATAGCATCTCCATACTACAAATAACCCCCTCCCCCAAATATCATTGAAACTTAATAAATTAACTATGTTGGAACATCGCAGACAAATCAGTTGTGCTGGGTAGGTGATTCTTGGTTGTAATCCTATCTCCTTTGACCTCTGGAATATCATATTCCAAACCCTCTGGTCCCTTAATGTAGAAGCTGCTAAATCTTGTGTTGCCCTGATTGTGTTTCCACACTACTTGAATTATTTCTTTCTGGCTGCTTGCAATATTTTCTCCTTCACCTGGGAACTCTGGAATTTGGCTGTAATATTCCTAGGAGTTTTCCTTTGGGGATTTCTTTCAGGGGAAAACTACAACCTTTTCAAAATGAGTCCAGGTCTAGTCTATATAACAATATCTTTTTAGAATTATTTTATATGGAAAGTACTCATATTTTTCCTCTATGAAATTTCAGGCATTTTCTAGGATCTTATGATTCATGAGAAAACAGTCATTCTTTAGAATATTACTTTTTACCTTTACTTATGAGTACAGTGAATTATCCAAAATTATTTAGGCTGGTTTTCAGAAAACAGAATTAAAATCAAACCCAGGTCATATTCAAAGTGTTTTTGATCAATCAATCAATAAACACATTTTCCAATGTAATATGACCCATCTGAATTTGTACTTGGCTAGAACAACCTTTAAAAATTTAGAACTATTGCCATACCACAAAAAGGCATCAAGGAAGGACTTTAGTGGAGGCAAATTACTTGGTTTGGGGGTATAAATTCTGTTTACCACCTCCACTAGAAACCTAATTTTTAACAATGTCATCTGTGAAAATTATTGAACCTTTCATAGTCATGAAAGTGGATGTGGTAACAAAAGTGAAAGAGTTGTTTTCTTAATATGTGGCACACTGGATAAGATTGCTGGACTTGGAGTCAAGAAGATCTGAGTTCAAATCTAGTTTCAGACACTGGTTAGCTGGGTGACTCCAGGCAAGTCACTTTACCTCTCTCAGTCTTGGATTCCTTATCTGTAAATTGGGAATCATAATAGCACCTACTTCATGAGGTTGTGGTGAGGACTAAATAAGACAACATACATAAAATATTTTGTAAATGCTAAAGTTCTTTATAAATGCTAGCTGTTATCATCATTGTTATTGTCTTGCATAACAATGCCAAGGATTTTACCAATATTTTTTATTAATACTCTAATGTGCATTTCTGATGATTCCTATGATCACTGATAATTTCCTATGATATGATATGAAGTATCAGCTTGGTGTAAGATCAAGAGCTACTAAGACCATTATCACACACCCACTATCCACACCTAGACTATTTCAATAGCCTCTTAATTTGTCTACTTATCAACTATCTCTTCCCTCTACAATCTACAATCTATTCTACATGAAGCTGCCAAAATTGTGTACTTAAGAAGAGATACGACCTCCTTACTCCTGTGCTCAAGATGTTACTATGGCTTGCAATTGTTTCTAGACTAAAATACAAATTCTGTTTGGCTTTTGAAACCTTTCACAACTTGACTGTAAGCTATCTTTCCAAGCTGATTTCACATTATTCCCCTAATGCATTCTATTTGTAGTCAAACAGGTTGCTTTTATCCAACATGTAGTCTCCCTCCTTTACACAAGTTTTCTCTGGTTCCTAAATTGTCCTCCCTCCTCACCTTTACCTCTTGGGATGCCTAGGGACCTTCAAAGTTCAACTAAAGTGCTGCCACCTATGAGAGGCCTTTCTTCACCTCTCACCTCCATAAATTAACACTTTGTGTTTATTTTGCATACGTAGCACTTGGGACATCTGCCCCTCAATGGGTCCCTCAGAATAGTTACCCAATGTTCAATATACTTGGTGGGTTCATATACTCAATACCATAGCCCATGAGTCTCCATTAAGGTGTTTTATTATTATTATTATTATTATTATTATTATTATTATTATTATTATTTAGTTAGAGAGTGTGATTCAAGGAAAAGGCATATAATGAAACAGTATTGTAAGAAAAATAGCAATAGAGCATTACCTCCAATACATTTGTGGAACATTAACCCACAAATATGCACACTATCACTGGGAACTGTAAGCCCACACAGGGATCAGAAAGAACATACAGAAACATATGTGCCAGAAACAGACAAGGAAGGTCACAAATGTAGGGAACATATATGGGCATGACAAATAAGTGGACGGACAACTCTGATCTGGAGAGCGATGATATCTTATAGTTATATCCTCTTGCTGCTCTCTCTGGGACTGAACCAGTGTTTTACTTTTCTGATGCTCCTTCACTAGCTGCTGTACTTTTGTTACTCTTTGCCTCTCACTATTTCCTGGAATCCTCTGCTCTTTTCTGTGCCTGTTACTCCAAGTAGTGTCATGATCCCTTCTAGGATATGATCTCTGGAACCATCTTCTGGGCCTCATCTCTTTAGGGTCACCTGCCAGCCATTTCAGCTCACTTACCTGGGTGTGGTACCTTGAAGCCTCTCCCTGACAAGGACAGACTGACAGCACTTAATCATGGCTGGATGACATCCAGCTCACAGGACTCAGGCAAAGTATCCCCAAGATAAGATTAAGTCTGTTCTTCTTGGCTTGTGTGTCTGAAGCAGAGAGTATTGTCCTCTTCAGATGACTATTCAACAGGGTTAGAAATTATTAGGGTTCTCTAGGGTTTTAGCATGCAAATAAATTTGAGCCAGGAATAAAAGTTAAGGAAGGGGCCAAAATAACTGTTGTCAAACTACCTCTCTGGCATTTCTGTCATTACTGTGAACATCTGTCTACATCAATGCCCAGTAGTCACTCTGGAGCTGTGTTTTAGTCAGCACAAAACCTCCCTGTCTCTTCTACATGTATGTCTGATATTTGCTCATCTATGTATGTTTTCCCCCACTAACATACAACCTCCTTGAGGCCAGGAAGAGCAACTGGTTTTTTTTTTTTGTCTTTGTAAGCTTACCCCACAGCACAGTGCCTGGCATATAATAGACAACTAACATGAATTGGAACATGTAGTAGGGGGAAAAGGATTAAATTTCAGTACTGAAAGTATGAGAAAAGGGGGTCTTCCTGCATCTACTGTACTTCCTCTAGTTTCCTAAAATAACTATTACCCTCTTCCAGAAAACTGAGATCTCAAACATCCCCAAAAGAATGAAAATTGCATAGAATTAGAGAAAAGTACCTTTCATCATGGAAAGAATACTGTTCACTAATGAAATTCTCATGAATTGGATATTGAATCTATATTGGGTTAACTTTCAATCAATTTAGAAGGGCTAAAATTAGTTATATGAAGCTTAGAATAATTTCCCATTATTCTTGAACCTGACTGGTGTCATGACTTTGATTTGTTATAGTGCTTCCCCCTCCCCCAAAGCCTTAGAAGATGTGAGTCATTTTCATTTAGTAGGAATGTCAAAAGTTGAGTGAAAAAGGATAGATTAATCATCCAAATCTCCAGCTGGCTTTGGCTCTCTCCTATGCAAAGAAGACCACCTAATCATGTGGTGACAGAAATGAAGACAAATCGCTTACTTAGAACTTAATAAGTGGAATGGATGTGGAAGCAAATTTTTATCTGCTACGTTACTAAAACAAAAAGGACACTTCCATGTCAAAGGTGGGGATGGGGAGGGAGAGAGTGACTATAGAATATACAGAAGAGTGATAAAGACCGTAGACCCAGTTTTGACAAGGCTCCAAATAATGACTTATCTTCTGTTTATTTATATGTCTACATGAAACATGAATGTTCAGGAAAAGGGGAATCGATTTTGCAAGTATGATTTTGTTTCCAGTGGACCAGTAAGACTGATATCTGTGTACAGTGGAAGTTTTTTTAATGGAAATTAGTAACTAGAAAAGCCAATGCAATACTCTTTGTTGCATTTGCTTTGTCAATCAAAGAGCACTCATGGTAGAAGTCAGTATTTATGAATTTAGAAAGGCAGTACCATTTATAATCTTGACATGGGTCTGAGATTTAGGGGCCACGGTTATTCCTAGTCCAGCTTCTGTGTCCTTGGGAAAGTCATCTAACTGCACTGGGAGTTTGTTTCCTCATTTGTATAAATGGGACAATTATCCCAGATTTTTATATGTGTCAAGAAATAATTAATTATCATAAGTCCTTCATTAATTCAACTCTACCAAATCCATAATTGTTGATAATTGAGTAAATATGTGGATCTTTTTCAGTTTGCGTAAAACATTCAGCGCAGTTCATTCCTCTGTGAATTTTATAACATTATTAGTAATAGAAATCACATTCAGAATCAGTAGTTTATTCATTGCAAGGACTCAGGGAATTAAATAGGTGCCTTCAACTCTGTAGCCAAGCAATTCATTCTTGTTTAAAAAGGAACGTATATGCTTATTTTAAATCATTATGAAATGTAAGGCTATTATAAATAGTAATCTTTCACTGATTTGCCTAATTTTATTTATCAATATCCATTTATGCCTTAATAATTTACAAAATATGCTTGCTATGAAATCAATAATATTATAAGGGCACAAATTAGAATTTTTGTGTTTTTAAAATTGTACTCTTTTTTTTTCAATTGGACCTGTGATTTCATTGGTATGAGGAAGTCCTGGTAAGAAAACGCCTCCTACCCAGTAAGACAGGCATCTGTTTTGCATCTTAGCTTTAAGGAATTGCCTTGGTTGCTGATGGGTTGAACAATTTGCTCAGGGGCACCCAGCCTGTATGTGGTGGAGGCAGGACTCTGGTCTTACGGGTTAATTTACTACCTACTACTTATTATCTTGACAGGTAGCATGGCAGAATAAATGGATAGCCAGCCTCTGAGTAGAAAGTTCACATCCTGCCTCTAACACAAACTAGCTTATGTGATTCTGGGCAAACCAGAAACGTAATTTATGAGTACCCTAAGCAACTCTCTAAGACGAAGTTTCCAAGTTTTCAAGCAGTTACTTGTCTCCACTATCAAAGGAAATTTTTCTCACTGAGTTCCCTATAGCACTAAAATGAGTTCAAAACCAATAAAAATCAACTTATCTTGGTAGCTATTACTATTAGAGAGATGCTTCTTCCCTCATGCCACTAGGGAGACCCTTAACCACTGTTACAGGGGTGGGGGAACCTCCTGCCTCCAAGCCTCATGTGGCCCTCTAGGTCCTCAAGTGTGATCCTTTGACTGAATCCAAATTGTTCTGTGAAGTTTGGATTCAGGGACACACTTGAGGACCTAGGGGCCATAAGTGGCCTTGAGGCTGCAAGTTCCCCACCCTGGCCTAGTATGATCCTCTTTGTGGCTAGGAGGTGACCCAGATTTTGGAATGTCCTGCCAGTGGAGAGCTGGTTCTATCTACCAAGCTGGAAAGGCTGCTGGTATGGGCCCAGAAGTGGGCTCCAGTTGTCTGTGGACCAGCTTGGCTCGGTTAGCAAAGACTCATCACCAGAAGTTTGGATGCCAGGTGATGAACTTTCTTGGCAGCAGTGATCCATAAAGAACGTCTCTTAAAGCATGGGAGGGCTGTGATCTGTGTCACTGGAAAGAGAAACCACATCAGTGAAATAATGGATTTTTTTTGAAGGAGATAGAATGAGATTATATTATAGGAATACCTTAATACTTAGGGGAATTTGAATGTACTTTATGTGTATGTGTGAGTGTGCACGTGTAGGTATATGTATGTGTGCCTGTGCATGGGTGTATGTGTGTGTGTGTGTGTGTGTGTGTATAATACTATATACATGAATCCAAATTTATCCAATTACAAATGGTAATGAATTTTCACTGGTTCATGAATATTGCCCTACTAGATGTGTTTTGGACTTTCTGGATTTTAACACCATGCGTCTGTTGCAATCTCATTCTAGAAATGACCTCCGTGATTGCGGCCTCCTCACCCTAGAATATTCATCCACCATGCCAGCCGTCTGCTCCCATTGGTGAGTCTCCTAGGGGAGACTCCAGCTGGCCAGTCTTCATTCCCCTCCTGACTGTGTTTCTGACTTCAGATTTCAATGCTCCAGTGCAGGTGCCTTCCCTCTCCTGCCTTTTCAATTCCCTTTTGTGTATTGTTTCCCTCCATTAGGATGCAAGCTCCTTGAAAAGAGGTTTTTTTTGTTTTTATTTGTATTATTGCTGTTTGGCACAGTGCCTGGAACATAGTAAGCACTTAATAAATACATGCTGCTTTGTGCCTTGCCTTAGAACTTCAAAGTATTCCTTTAATTTTTAAATCACATATTTAAATAATAATAAATTTTCTTTCTGATAAAAGACTGCTTAAAATAAGTCACAGAATATAAATACTATATGTGGTATAAATCAAGATATTCTTCCCATGAGTTAGATCTATGTAAGGGCTTCTACATCTTGTGGGTAACCTGGCTCTGACATGGAGGAAATTCTCTTCCACAATAATCGGATATTCTCTCTTGCAATATGTAACCCTTGTCCCAAAGTGCATTCGTATGGGACTCTTTCCTTATGGGTAGAGATGAATGCCCTGCCCTGCAAGGGGCAGGGTAGAGCAGTGAGGGGTGAGAGAGCTCCAGGCTTTACCAGTCCCATTTGAGACTCCTGTAGGGGTAGTCCACTTTGGAACTCTTCAAGCTTTGAGTCACTTTGGGTACTTCTCACTTTCAGCTTTGAGAGGGAAGATGGAAGAAGCCAACCCCACTTCAGGGTGCCGAAGGAAAAGACTCTGGGAAGATGAGAGGAGTTGGCAGTCTCCATCATGTTGCTATATCCAGCTTGCTACTCTAGAGACTTTGGTGACTTCCCATTGGGTGAGATCAAGGATTCTCTTGGTAAGCTGAATTGCTTTCTTCCCATTGAGAGAATTCCTTCACTTTGTGTTGCCTGATATCTTCCTATATGTATCTTCTCTGATTTGTTTTGTTATTGATTTGATAAATGAGTTTTCTTCACTATTCACTATGTGTATTCATGGTGGTATTGGCATTGTGGGAGAAGGGTCGAGCCTTGGATATAGAGCTGTGGTCCCCCTTTCTTCCCAATAATAATAAGACAACGTGATCAGAAATCAGAGTGAATGTGACCTTATCCCCAGGTAAATAATATTTAAGGGAGTGGATAGATGTAAATTTTAGCCCAGTGTCCCCTTTCTCTGGGGAGATCAGAGTGGTGGGCTCCAGTCCCAAACTCCTGCTTCCCCTCCTGGCAGGAACAAAAGTCTCTGTTGGAGAACAGTGGGGAAAAAAGGGCTGGAGATTTCTATTCTGCCTCCCTTTGAGCCATATGACAGTTCTTTCCACAGCCTTCTCTAGATGTGGGGCCCATGTTTGACACACATAGGGTCCTTACTTATACGGACACAGATAACACTGATGACCTACCACTGGGAGGAGGTGGGCATGACCTTTGAGCTGCTTTGTTATTAGGGATGATGAGTTGGCACAGATCCAAACATGCTCTTTTTGCCCCAGATCCCCTGTAGTCAATAGCAGAAAAAGCAATGGATTTGGAGTCAGAGAATTTGGGTTTAGATCCCTGCTCTGCCACTTCCTGTCTAAGACTCCCCTTTCCTCATCTGTAAAATGAAGGAGTTGGACAAGATGACATTCAAGATCAGGGTTAGGATTACAGTCTAGTTCATGTGGCAAGCAAAACTGGGACCTTGAATAAGTAATAGTATCTGCTGATAGGCTAAGCCATCCATCCCATACTGCCTGATGTCAATTAGGCATACTGATCAGCTGGTGAAGCCACTTCCAGCAGTGTAAGAATGAATTCCTACACTGTTCCTGACTGGGAGAGCTCTGAGCTGCGCTGCTCTTTGGTGTCACTACCAGCACCTGCATTTGTGGGTTTCTTCCTGGCACAAAGGCTGAGCCGCTGCTTTATTTTGACATTTTGACACAAAAGCAGAAATGATTCTAGGAAGTAGTAGATTTCCTAGGAGATATCACGTATAAAGGAGTTCTCTGACAACATCAGAAAGAGAAACTGCTACAGGGGGTAATCTGACCTGCCTTCTATGAGTCACAGATGGCATTTAAAGGGGTTTTCAGCAGTGGAAATAGTGTCCGGAGTCAAACTTTCATGCAGTGACGTACTACATATTATTAAAAGAATTCAGTTGCTTTTAAGTTGCAATTATGAGTTTCTGTAAGGTGGGATTTAAGTGGGATATGGCTGTATTTTTTCTGTTCACAAAAGTTGAATATCCCCATTTCTGCAGAAGCAGGAAGTGAGGACAAAAGTCATATGGTAGACGGATGGATGAATTGGATAAGAACATACCCTCTGGTCGAAGTCTCTTAGTTCTACTTGTACTAAGACCACGTGTTTATATTCTAATTTGCATTGTACGATTTGTCTATATCTCATAGCTCCTACTAGTTTGCAAGTTCCTTAAAGGCAAGGTCTCACTTCTGTCTACCTCAGCACCTACCTACTGTGGTGCCTTATATAGAATGGATGTGCATGCATAGAGAATACTTGTAGAAGGGTACGTGTATGGAAACATTTTTGTCCGTGGTACATGCATGGAGAAGCACAGGGACAGGGAACACATGTGACCAGGGTATAGAACTGAAGAGGCAAAAAATGGGGAAAATATGTTAAGGGACACACTTGTAGGGAACATGTATGGTCATGGAGCACACAAGGAAAGGTAACATCCTCTTGATGCTGTAGGACTGCTGACATCTGCTAGTGATGACATTGCTACACTTTCTTCTACTCTTGAATCCTGTCGTCTCCTGTCTTATGATGACTAATGTCTTTCCAAACCCCAACCCTACATTACTCCTTCCATTTGGCTCCTCCACTATTACACATTGGTGAACAGAGCTGGAGAAAGTTGCTCAATTGTGCCTACAGAGTTCACTACAAATTCATGTTTAACCTTGAGCAGCTGCTGCAGAACTACAAAGGCTGACTTTCTAATGGGAAGGGGCATGTGTTTTAGATGCCTTGTGCTCATGGCCACATGCAAGCCTGGGGGAGGGCAGCAGTTACAGCAATTTATCCTTCCCCACCTACCCCCACCCACTTCTCAAGAAAAAGTTCTAAAAAGTCCCCATTCATATCCAGAATGGAAGAGAATATCTACATGGATGTTCTTGCTCCTTCATATCTCCACTAAGTCATCAGTCCTTCTGGTTCTGCAGCCAAGAGTAGAATTCCTTATGATCCCCAAGTGCAAGCCTGTTAGCAAACAGTCACATTTGGTTAGAAACAGGCCCGGGTGTTTTCACATGGTCAATCAAAATAGTCCCTTAAGTCCATTATGTGTGTTCTCTCATCTCAAATAGGCTCTCACTGCAGCAAGGCAGTCCCTTTATTCCTTCCTAATTGATTCTCTATAAAATTCCCCACAGAAACTGTTCTAAGCCATCTCTTCCAAGGTTTCTTCTCTTGTATTCTAAACTGTACCCTTATAGAAGATCTTGACTTCTATTTGGCTGTGAAAATCCAAAACGTTTGCACTGAGCAACCTCTTCTCCATTTATCTATGTATTACAACCCCATGAGATCATTCCCCCATTCCCTTTTCTTTTATTCCAATCTCTGATGAAGAGGTAGGTTTTTTTTTTCCTTGCCAAGGCCAACACCTCTACATGTACCTCTGATCCCAGCCCTTCTCCTTTTCTTTAGCAAAATGTGTCCATGATCATTCCCTTTCTTATCTTTAATCCCTCCCTACTTACTTGTTCCTTCCCCAGTGCCTGAATAGGCACCCAATGTACACAATGCTTTAAAAGAACCATCACCAAAACCTACAATTCCCTGAAGCTTTCATTTAATATTTCACCTCGCTATTGCAATCAAACTCCTAAAAGAAACCCATAAAACTATATGCACTTGTCCTCTTGTTCACTTATTAACCGCTTTAATTTGGCTTCTGACCTCAGAAACTGTTCTTTCCAAAGTTGCTGATCTCTTAATGGGCAAATCTGATGACCTTTCCTCAGTTGTCATCTTTCTTGTCCTCTCTATAGGATTCAACATGAATTTAGGGTTTAAGGTTTTAACCTTAGCCTTAGCCCTAAATCCTCCTAGATATTTCCTTCTTGGTTTTCATGACACTGAACTTTCTCAGTTCTCTTCCTACCTGTGATCAACCACTGCTTCTTGATCTCCCTTGTTGGTTCACCATCCATATCTAGCCCCCTAATTATGGGTATACCCCAACACTCTGCCTAAGCAGAAGCCAGAAGTATCCAAAGCCTGAACAGACTAAAGATGCCTATAAAGACTCAACATGTCCAGAGACTGGAAGAGATTGGAGATCTCTCTCTTGCTTTCACCAACTCTGGTAGGTCCCTTATACAGGCTCAGGGCATTGATCTCCACCAATGAGAAGAGAGTCAGCCCCATACAAATGGACTTTTGGACTTAGGTTATATTCAAAAGGGGCCAGCAACACTCCTGAACCAGATTAAAATGTAATTGGGAAATGTCTAACAAAATAAATAAAAATGTAATGGAACATAATGTCAATTTTTTGTTTTCTAAGTCAGTATGTGGCCCACATAGATCCTTTTCCATTTGGATTTGATATCACTGGTCTAGAGCACTGAGAAGTTGGGCAACTTGCCTAAGGTCACACAGCCAGTGTGTGTGAGAGGTGGGTCTGTTACGCCATTCTGCTTTTCACGTACACGTCAGAGCTGTATATATCCTCTCCTCACTAGAATGTAACTCCTCAAGAACAGAGACTTTCACTTTTGTCTTCCCATCTCCAGCACCAGGTTATGTGGCACATAGAAGATGCTTAATATCACAAGCACCCGTGTTTCTGGCATAAGCATCCTTAACAAATGCTTATTGATTAACTGATTGATTAGATTGCTCCTACAGGGCCTGTTCCCCATGGGGTTTAGCTCCGTGTGTAGTTTCTTCCATGGGCTACTCAGCTGGGACTGCCATGTTGGACATAGTCTTCACCAGAAACTGCTTTGCCAGATGCTGCACAGATTGGCACTGCTCTGCTGGGCATTGCTAGGCAAGGGCCACTAGGTACCTGCTTATGGAGCTTCTCCCTGCTTCCAGCTCCTGAATTCAGTTGAAGTCTTTGTCTAAGGAGTTCTCTCTTCCTCAGTGGGAGACTGGACCAAAGACAGAGGCTTTTTACAAAAGCTCCTGTCCCTGATTCAGCCATATGACCAGCAACAGCCCTCCCCAGGGAGAAATTCTCCTGAGTTGATTTTTTTCCTTTATACAGTATGTGTTCCCTCCTAGTGTCTTGGGGAAATTCTTTTCTTCAAGTTCTAAGCTCTCCGGGATACAGGGCAAGGTCTCCTCAGCTAGCTAATGGCCTCAAACTTAATCTTTTCTTTGGAGTACATTTTTTTTTTGTCTACGGTGCTTGGGGTCTCCGTGGGTGACTTCATTCTTATTTAAGATGAGCACTTCAAAAAACCCTTTTGATTTTAATCTCTGAAAGCCAGACTACACTTGGAACTATCTCTGAAAACTATAACTACACTTCCATTGAGGCTATTTTCCTAGTATATGCCAAACAGCTCTGGAGTTCAGAATTTCCAAGTTTTCAGCTCCTAAGCCCTTCTACTCTCCCACGTAGATGAGTGGACAGGGTAAAGTCCCAGAGACAAAGATAAGCCCACGGGGCAAGGGCATCATTTATCCTACTTAGTTAGCCATATTCCTGGTCTTTCAATGGTAGATATAGACAGCCAAAGCTTGAAGGGATTTTGAGTTCACCCTTACTCAATTGAGTATATACAAATATATTCAAAGTGACACAAAGTGAGATAGTGTTAATAAATGCAGGAATCAAGAAGAGCCTCTTTTGGAGGTGTGACCTGAATTGGGTCTG